TATCAAATGCTGCAACTCAGATGTCCCCAACTCAAGATGATTATGCTCTAAACTCAGTGCAAAGGAACTCAACAGCACCCTTATTGGGCCATAGACAAACACATTCATATGTCAACATCACCCCCCCAGTTCATGATCTTTTGCATTCAGGTGATCACAATATGCAACACACACATTCACCTGCCCACACTTCTGGTCTTGGGAAGCAAAGTGCCTTGCCACCACCCATATTTGGCCAGAGACAAAGACATTCATCTGTCAACATGACACCCCCGGTTCACAATTGTTCACATTTAAGTGATCACATTGTGCACAACACGCCATCTCCTCCCCACACATCTGGTCAAGGGAGGCAAAGATCCCATCATTCAAGATCAACTTCTCTGCAGTTGCAATCTTATTCCCAGGAGGCATCCCCTTCAGCCTACAGGTATTCCCCTGTGTCAAGGGGAACTCATGTTAGATCTACATCTATTGGAATGCAAACACCTTCACCTGCTCATTCATATGGTCATTTGCAAAGATCCTCATCAGGCAGCCGCTCTGGTCAATGGCCATTGTCCACTCGGTCCAACTTCAATGTGTTAGGTTCAGGTGGTAATTGTTCAAGATCATCCTCTGTTGCAATGCGTTCACCTGGTCACTCATCAACCCAGAGTGAATCCTCTGGGACAGATCAATCATCTGATGAGAATATTGAAAACCTTCTGGAGGAAATGGATACTTATGACTGGGGTAATGAAGATGACTGGGAAGATGTGGTCTATCAGGGACCATCAACTACTAATCACCCCTCTGAGAAAGTTTCAGAAAGTGCATCAGTACCCAAAAATGGTTGGTACCCATTTGGAAAATTGGAGGTACGTAACTGACGTAACCCACTATCTACTGTAAGGTAAGATAGAACTCTAACATCTTATTGATTGGACCAATGAATTAGAACACAATTGCTATTATGATTTACGGTTCAGCACGCAACATGATTAGTCGAAGGCAATATGATGCAATTCGCAGTGCAGTCAGTCTGGCTGGCCTCAGGTTGCCAACTTACAAAACGTTGAAAAATATCTTGAAGCGAGCAAAAATAGCTCTTGGTTTGAAGTTGGAAACTACCATAAGTCCCTTGAATAATCCCTGTCATTCTTTACCCATCAAGGATCTTTTGAGATTGGTAAGTGTGCTGTGTCTGCAATGTCTTTTACCAGTGGGGTGACATGTTGTTGATGTTTTTGCTATGGGCAGGATTTGGCAAAGCCACATGTGGCTTGCAAATTGTCCTTTTACCCTGCAGTCTCCAAGTATGGTTTGGTCAAAGAGTTCATTCATTGTGAAAAATGGCTGAATGGTTTTCCTTCTTGGATGTGGGCACCAATGGTTTCGACTGATGTTGGCCACTTTTATCTGTATGAGCCGGTGCAGCTATGCAATGGAAGAGTGGTGGTACCAACACATTTCTATTATTTGGGAAATGATTTGGTGGCAAAGTGCCTTGAATTGCATCTGGTAAATTATGAAAACCCCAGGCAATCACGAATGGAGATTTTAAAAGAGGACAAAGTCACCAGGGATGAATCATTGGTTTTCAAAGTTAAGGACTTTCACAAGACTTTTGATAACATACTGTTGCCGAATGGAGGTTGGTTAAAAGATCATTATGGTAATGCTCTATATCGTAAGTCACTTGCAAACTAAGTAATTCAGAGGAGATGAAACTAATATGGTATTGTATTCTCAGAATGTTCAGACCATGAATGTGTCACCCACATTAATTTGCCCAATCCATGGCGAACTAAAGCAAAAGGCAAGATTGTTCGACATGTGCCATTGACAATGTATAGTGACAACACGTCAGGTTCCCATTCAAAGAGATTTAATAAGCATATGTGTTATTACTTCACATATTCTGGTCTCCCTGCGAAGTTAGCAAATTTGGATTATAACATCCATTGGCTCGCAGCTTCAACCAAAGCACATGCATTGGAATTGGGTGACAACATCATAAGCCAGTTGAAGTAAGTGCAGGTTTTATCTTTATCACCTGGACATGTCATACCAAATGTCAAATCTAATTTTATTTGGGTTGATTCATGGTTTTTGGAAAAAGCTTATTATCACATGAGGGTTCAATTGCATATGATTCTAGCATACAACAAGAAGTTTTGGTGGTTGCAGTCCAGCTGGCACATTTGGGGGATTCCCCAATGCATGCAGAGGTTTCTAACACCAATAATCCAGGAACAAGTTTGAACCCTTGTAGGATCTGTCACCTTGGAGTGCCTTCTAAAATGATGAAACAGGAAGAACGTTTTGTCCGGGCATTTGTAGGAATCAACTCTGAGGGCCTAATGGTTTGTTAATGTTGCTTTTGGGTGATTATATTGGGCACCAAATCACTAATATCATCATTTCTTTGATAAAAATGTAGGTTCATGAACCATTGCGTGATTGGAAAAAAACTGAGAATCTCACCAAACATATTTGGAAAGAGTCACAACTCCCTAATACAGCTTCCAAAGTGGACGGGATGCAGAAGTCTTATGGCCTCAAGGACACAATGTTGCAACCTTTCATTGATAAGATCAGAAAAGTGCAAAGGGAGCAGAGTGTTAGTGATGCACAAAGGCTGGCTCAAGAGTATGAGCAGCTGTATGGGGACCGCATGTTTAATCCCTTTTTCAGATTGGATGGTAAGTGTGAATTTTATAAATGGCCCCAATCATTATCAATTGTGCTCATTTGGAATTGTATGGTCCAAGGTTTTGATGGCCACCTAGATACACCTGTAGAAGTTCTACATGTTATTTTGTTAGGGTTGGTGAAATATCTTTACAGGGATGCTCTCCAAAAGATACCAAAAAACCAATTGCCAACTTTGGTTGCCAAGTGGAAAGCTTTCAACATATCCGGTTTGCAAGTGCAGCAAATACAACCAAACAGACTGGTTCATAGTGTGTTGTCACTCACGGGGAAAGAGTTCCGCATTGTTGTTCAGGGGGCGCCTTTTGTATTATTTGAATGGATCAGCTTAGAAGAAAGAACAGTTTGGACCCATCTGGGGCATATGACCTCAATGATCTATCAGCCAGAAACAAGGAACTTGGATGATTATTGTGTCAAGTTGGACCGACATATCAACAATTTCCTTTGTAGTATCCTCCGGTTGAATGCTCGATGGGTGAACAAACCGAAGTTACACATGCTCACACATGTAACCCCTTGCATTAAGCGTTTGGGACTAGCAGGCCTTTATATGACTGAATCGTTTGAAAGTAAAAATGTAGTTACCCGTACAGCTTCTATTCATTCCAGCCGTCATGATCCTGGCGCACATCTCGCGGAAAGTTTCCAAAATGTGGAAGTCGCAAATCATCTTTTCACTGGCGGCCTTTTTTGGGATGACCCACTCAAAAGTGGGTTCAAGGCGGCCATCTTCTGCGGGGGGTTTTAGATAATGAAGATGTGGTTGAGAATGTCTTTGGATTTAAAATAACACTCGGATTCTATCTTAAAATCAAACTTGACCTTCTACCAACCCGGGTTTGACACCAAGACAAGCACAAGTACCAGCAGAACATTATTTACGAACGCATCAAACACAAATGCCCCCTGCCCAGTCTGCAACCCTGAAGACTGGGCAACAAGTGCAAGTGGGGGACTGGGTTGCTGTAAGTTTCCGGATATTTAACTTATTTTGCAAAGTAAGGAAAGGACTTTAACCCAGACATCATACACACAGGTTTTCACCCAGAACATCACACCACCAAAATGGATTGGTCGAATACGCTCAATTTGGTCCCCCTCATATAGTGCAGAAAGCTTATCATCGCCTATTTTATCAGTGACAATAGGGTCCATGTCAAATTCCTACCATCCATGGTGTGGGTTGCGATCCCTGAAGTTACAACAAGAATCAGTGCTTGTTTACCTGGATGTATGTCTTTCAAAATCAAATAAATGTCACTGTGTCTTAGTTCCTGATGTCATTTGATAAATAGGAAATCCGGTGTTCAATCAATGTTCAGCACAACTGTTATGACTCAGTATGTCAGACTCAAAGAACATCAATGCCCTCTGCAGCACTTAATTCCCACCTAAATGATACTAAGCAATCAGTGGTCCACAAAAACACTGACCTTTTCATCATAAACACTGCCGCTCTGTACAATGGCCAGGCCCATCATGAATGGGCCCAAATAGACCCACCAAGGGTTTCACCTGAAGCATGGGCTCAGGCAACCCACATTGGTTTGAGACGGTGGAAAGATAGCTCAAACAAAAAATAGTTCCAATTATAGTATATAACTTTTTTTAAAATGAAAGAAATCCAACTTGTATCAATCATGAAATTTATGAAAGCATTTCATGTTGCTTCATCTTCCAATTCCCTTTTTGGTTTGCTTTGATGATTTAGGCAATTGTTGTTTGAATTTATCTTTGGTTGCAATTTATCTTTGGTTGCATCATGTTATGTAATGACCTTATGCAAAAGGTGTTCCAATGAGATGTGTTTTCTCTTTGCAAAAACCAAAGCAACTCCAGATCAATGAACAATATTTGCTTTCAAATCTGATGTTGCTTTATCATGAGTTTGCATATTTGCAAATTCAAGGCTTGATCAGGTCTTGTTTGATCAAACCTTGAAGAATTTTTTACTAGCTAATTTCTACAGAACAAATGACAATTTATTATAATTGTTTTACTCTTTTGCTTAACCCAGACAATGACTTAGTTTTACTTTTGTTTGCTTAACCAAACAAGGTCAGACTCATCAATGACACAATTACAATTTTCCAAAATTTTTGGCTTAACCAAACAAAGGTTAGACACAAAATGACATGTATAATATTCCATCTAACCCACCTTCAAACATTTCAATCAGATAACAGCCAAACTATATGAAACCTTATGAAGCACAAACAAATTGATTGTGACACATTCCTAACTCTCTGACATTTATTTCACGTGCACCATGTATGAAAGCAAAACCATGTTTAAAAAAGATATCAAGAGCAACCACACTCGCTTACTTATAATATTTATCAAAACCAAGAAATGAACACGACATGATTGATTAAAAACCTCTTTGAAATCATGAATTTTTCCAATCACAGCCAAACATTTCAAATCTCATCGCGGTTCAATCGTTTCTGTAAGTGCCAGTAATAATCCTTGGATTTGAACATTAAATCCATAGCTGTTCCAAATCGGATACCCCATTTAACCAGTTGTTGGACATCCAAAATACCCGGAAAAAGAAACTTTTCGAAAGAATTGATGCGATGAGGGCGTAAGATATCAATGACCTCTTTGATCTCGTTTGGCGCGATTGAAGCGTAGATCATGTAATCGGCCAGATGCACCTTCGCACGTAGAATATCAACCGTGAGATGATCAATCGAAACCGTAGATCCCTGAAACTCTTGGTAAACCCCTTGGGGAGAGCCCTGCTCTTTATCGACCTGGTCCTATGTGAAAGGTGGGACCAAAAAGTACAAAGCTATTATGGAACTGGTCACCTATGTACATGACCAGTTCCAAAAGGACTTACCGATATAGTTGTAACTGACTCGGGAGTACGTACCACATGGCATCTCTTCCGACTATTGTTCTATCAAGAGTGATCATCGAAGGATCAGCTTAGCCAAAGTTTGCATCGAAAAGATGCAACCAAGTCATACATAACATGAGATTCACTTACAGGAGGTGAAACCAGGAGAGTCTTAGGTGGATCAATCATAGTGACATTGATCCCAGCGCGTTTCAAAGGATTCATCCTAACCTCGTCTAAAAACAAGACCCAAGCCGCATCGCACCATACGAGGCGATTAAAATCCCACAAATAATTGGGGTGGCCGTCAATATACGCATGAATGGTGACCAAACCTTTCTCCATTGCGTTATCCAACAACACACTGTTTCGGTTTCCAAATTGATTGGGGTCAATTTCATCCGCGAGATTGAAAAGCATATTTTTCAAGTGCTCCAAAGATGGTTTGAAATCCTCAAAGGCCTGCTCGGTGATGGGAAGTGCGAAGCGAACGATTTCCGGTAGCCCAGGTCCAAGAGCGGGCTTCGGTTCGAGGTACTGAGAGTCCTGAGGATTCTTTTTGTGTGAGTACAGATGGTACTCCAACCTAATCTTTCTTTCATTCTTCGCGGCGTTCGTTTTGACCAATGGTTCGACCGAAGATTCAGGGATGTACAAACCGCCATCTTCAGGAGGCTGGCTTTCAGGCAACTTGGCAGCGGAAGAAGACCCGGTGGGACCTTGACTGTTCCGACGATCAGGGCTGAAACCATCCAACAGAGTCAGTTTGGAAAACACCTCGAACGCACGTAAGTCCAGAATTACTTACGTTTGCTTGATACGATTAAAATACTCATAACAGGCCTCTGTCCTAGCGTTCGGACTAGTCGAACGGGTGTTGACCATCTTGAAAAAAGTACCGGTATGAAGAAAATATAACAATAAGGAGACAAGATTCCAAACTCGATAAGGACAAAGACCCGGTTGACCTGGAAGGACAAGAAATTTTGCTAAGTTTTTTTTCAATTGCGAGACGAAAGAACCCAGCATTTCCACTCACAGATCTGTCACCAGCTGTCACGGCTTTCGAACCGGCTTGTTCAAAGACCAACTTTGAAGCTGCAAATGGGGTGCTCACTGCTGACCTTTTGGCTTCTTTGTGTTTCTTTCTGCTTTTCGCCTCCAGAAACCCCAAGTCAGCATGATGCGACCATCCCAATTTCAATCGCCTGCTTCTTCTAACTATGATCGGCTTACCTTGAACGCCAATCCACGAGTGCGCCGGGCCTCCAATGCGTTTGGCTTGGATTATGAAGCACCTCAACAAACCCCGCCGAACCTTTGAAATACAAACTTCCAGATGATGGGCAACCACAATTTCAGCGGAGAGCAAGAGCCGAACTATCGCGAGGTGTTAGAAGACTCACCTCACAGCACCCCAACTATCTTGCAAGGCCCAGGTGCACAAGCAGGCCGAAATGATATGGACTTTGTCGATGTAGACAGAGTGTCCGAGACGATTTCCAGGATCGGAGAAACTTTTGGTCTAAGTACAGCAGATAAGTTAGAGGTCCAAAAGATATACGAGGTAAGAATCAAACAAAGATTCGATATCATATCATAAGTAATTGAAAGTATATGATACTTATCATATACTTTCTGTGTTTTAGCAACCAAACAACTTTGCACGTGAGGTAGCAAAGGTGTGTTTTTTCCGATCTCAGCTCGCAAGACTTGAAGACACAATATTAGAAAGAAACATGACATGGACCACTACTGGACCCCAAGCAATTCCACCTGATCATCGAGAGGCCAAGTGGCAAGGAACCAATAGTGTCCGAGTAAGTCACAGTTTAACTTTATTACAATCATCATGATATCTTACCCATGATTTGAAGCTTTTCATCCGCAATAAAATCAAAGATGCCCTCCTAAGTAGTTCCATACAAGCATATGCATCCAACTTTACCGCCACCAATGATCCGATTCTTGATTCTCTTGAGAACCACATTGTGGTAAGTCAGGCAATCCATTTACCATTACCCAACATGAGCTTCTCCGCCAATGATCACCAATTTCAGGAGATTATCAAGAAAGAGGTGAACAAGGTCCCAAATTATAACCTCCCTGAAGGATTTCGAGAAGAAGATCCATCTGCCGACACCGCTGTGCGAAAGGTCATTAAGGAAATCGCCAAGTCGGAGCGCTGTAGATTTCGAGAACATGTGAGTCATTTACAAATCAAATAAACAGGATTTTGATAACTCACATCACATGTACCAAACAGCTTCTGAACAACATCATTAACCCACCTATGAATTCCAAGGTTATGAAGATTTTCGAC